GCCAAATGATGAGATTGGAAGCAATCTAGCAAGAGGAAAGTTCACCGAAGTATCCCAGAATGAATCGCAACTCATACAAGCATCAAGATCAACCAAAAGATAAGTTTGGAAGCAATCTAGCAAAAGGAAAGTTCACTGAAGTATCCAGGAATGAATCGCAACACACACAAGCATCAAGATCAGCCAAATGATGAGATTGGAAGCAATCTAGCAAGAGGAAAGTTCACCGTAGTATCTCCGGATGAATCGCAACACACACAAGCATCAAGATCAACCAAATGATGAGATTGGAAACAATCTAGCAAGAGGAAAGTTCACCTAAGTATCCCGGAATGAACCGCAACACATACAAGCATCAAGATCAACCAAAAGATGAGTTTGGAAGCAATCTAGCAAGAGGAAAGTTCACCGAAGTATCCTGGAATAAATCGCAACACATACAAGCATCAAGCTCAGCCAAAAGATGAGTTTGGAAGCAATCTAGCCAGAGGAAAGTTCACCGAAGTATCCCGGAATGAATCGCAACACATACAAGCATTAAGATCAGCCAAAAGATGAGTTTGGAAGCAATTTATCAAGAGGAAAGTTCACCGAAGTGTCCCGGAACGAATCGCAACACATACAAGCGTTAAGATCAGCCAAAAGATGAGTTTGGAAGCAATCTATCAAGAGAAAAGCCCACCGAAGTATCCCGGAATGAATCGCAACACATACAAGCATCAAAATTAGCCAAAATCACATTTTTTGAGAGGTGGTCTAAGCTAGAGGAAGGGGAAGAAGATGAAGAAGGAGGGGGAGAAAAAGGAGAAGAGAGAGAAGAAGAAGAAGAAGAAGAGGAAGGAGAAGAAGAGGAAAAAGAAGAAGAAGAAGAAGAAGGAGAAGTAGGAGAAGTCCCAGGCTTGGTTGTAGCTCTTAGAGTATGGTTCCCCTTCTTCCCAAGCTCTCCCCTCCTCCTTTCAGGCTATGGCAAACTCCTACCACTAGGGCTATGGAGTCCTTCCCTCTAAGAGGGCTAAGGGGACCCCTTCTAGCCTCTCCTTCTACCTCACAGCCTGAGGGCTATGGTGGACCACTCTCCTTGCCGCCTCCTAGCCTCTAGGCCTTCTTCCTCAGCCCTATCACCATAGCCAGGCTCCAAGCTAGCTCCGGCTCTCACTTCGTTGCTCTACTCCACTAGGAGTCTCTCAAGGATTCATTTTGGCAGCATGGGCTCCTCTCATGCTCAAATGGGAGTGGCGGCCTGCACCTCCAGCTTATGTAGGCTGAAACTGGTGCACCTCCCAGCCTCTAGGCCTTCTCAAATGCCTCTAGGTGGACCGAGGTACCCCCAAGGCCAAATTTCAGGTTTTGGCCTCCCTGGAGGTACTCGAACCTCATTTTGGCCAGGTACATGCAGTCCGAGTGGCTGGTACCTTCTCGGACTACCCCTTGGCCTACCCCGGCCTCTTTTCACTTCAATAAGAGCTGCCTTTTGGGGTACCACTACCCAAAATGCAGCCTTTACTGAAAATTGAGGGCCTAAAGGCCCGTTTCTTGTCTTTTTCCTGGTCTAGGCCTCATTTGGGTAGGCCGTTGTATCTTTCCAAGTGGCGGCACAATCTCAGCCTTGGATTTGGCTGAGATCCATGACCCTCATCATTCCGAGCTACTCCCAAGCTCTCCTTGGTCCAAATTTGAGCTCCTAGCTTCAATTTTTCAATTTTCTGGTGTATCTGGTCCAACTCTTGGGCCAAATACTCAATTTCGTATTTTTCCCTTCTTTGTTTTCCCTCCATTTTGCTGCCACCTCATTCCGGAGCTAGCCGTTTTGTGCCAGCACACAAAAAACGGCTAGATCTCCTCCACCATGAGATCAGACTTCAAATCTACGGCCTAGAAAAAGGCCGGCCAACTCACATCAGCCTTTTTCCTTATTTTTGTTGCTTAAATTCAGATATTGCAAAGATAATGCCCCAAGGGCCATATTTCTGCAATCCGGAATGCCCTCCTAGGATCTAGGAGGGATGAGGTCATCATTGAGACCTGCCAGTCCCTACTGCTGCAGTCCCAACCTGGCGGCACATTTTCCTCCACCCATTCTTCCTCCTTTGTCTCATTCTCCCCCCTATTTCTCCCCTTTTTCTCTCATTTCTGATGGGGCAAGTATCCAACAACTATTTTTCCTCTTTCTAGCTGTTGGGCCCCATCCAAGTTCTGATTTTGCAGCCGACATGTGGTCGTTGTACCTCGGATTGCAGTAGCAGCACCCCCATGGTCCTAGGGGCTCCGTTTGGCTGCCGCCGCTTCCAGTTCGAGGCCCCCTTGCTCCGATTTTCTCCTGCCAACCATTTCCTCATGTGGGGCCTTTGGAACTTTGTTTTTCTTGGCCTGGCTGGTCCGGAATAACCCGGACTGTTGGCCGGGCCCCCTTACTGCCGCTACTCCCTCTTCTCTTTCCCCTTGGCACCTCCCGTCGGCGCTTGCCGCGGTGGTACTTAATATTTTCGGCCCCCGGCCCGGACGGCGCCGCCCCCCTCGATATTATTTTACTTTTATTGTCATTATACCTGATCCAGACCCCTTGGGTCATCCCAGATACCCTCCGTCTTTCCCGCGTTACGCCCGCTTCTTCCATTCCGTTGACAATTCCTGTCGACGCCCGACTTTTCCCCCTCCTCCTATTACTCTTATTCATACCGTTCCCCCGGCGTCATCCGAGGTGACGACCGGTTTTTCGTTGGGTCATCATGCATCCCCATCGTTCAGTCGCCTATTATTCCGCCGACGTCTCCCGACGCTCAGTCCCGTCGATACCCGTCCCGCCGGTGGTTCTGCTGGTGCCGCAATTTTTGCCCGGTCCCACGTGGTCCCCGACACTTCGTCCTGCCGGCACCATGTCTTTTCTCGGTCTCACGTGGTCCTCGGCACTTCGCCCCGCCGACACCACGTCTCTTCTTGGTGTTCCTACCATCTTTTCGCCTTACGGCGGTCTTCTCCCCTCGTTCCTTTCGCACCTCTCCCACATGATCTTATCTTTGTCGAATTCGGAGAACTGCCTGAGAAAATACTTACTTATTATCCGGTCTGTTACCCCGGGAATTCGTAGCGCGACTAAAGTAAAGGCCCTTAAGAAGTCGTTGTAAGTCGCATAGTTCTTCCTTTGGACTGCCGCCAACTCGGCTTCTGTTGCCATCTTCTCCGCCTTTAGGTACTTCCTCATCATCTCGTTCCTGGTTTCCTTCCAAGATCCACTAGTGGCGACAATGGCCATAATGTCTCTACCCAGTCTCAATCACACATGCCGCCCCAAATGGTCCATCTTCTCTTCCTCACTCCATTTCAACAAGGCTGCCAGGTTCTCATAGTCTATCAGAAACTCCGTAATGTTTGCGCCATCGAACGTGAGTTTGAGATACCCCTAGTTCTTGTTTAGTGCCCGGGTGAGGGTGGTGACTATCCTCTTGAGACCACCTTCGGAGCTACCCGCTTCTCCAGCTGCACTGGTCCCTTCCCTCTGCTTCTCCCTGGTTTTCGGCGTTCCTTCTGGGTCAAACTATCCTAGTACCCTTTCCCTAAGGCTCCAGAGTCCGTCGCACGCCCCTGTTACTTTCGGCGTGGCGGGGAGTCGGCTAGCGCCGCTGTCGATGGCAGGCGGGGTCAGAGCGTTTTCCGTCCCCTCCGTCGGGGGGTCGTTCTTGTCCTTCCCCTTCTTGCTAGGCATTCCTTTGTGGCTATTATCCTTCCCTCCATACCTGGCCTCGTCCTGACCGGTCCTGCGTCCCTCACGTGACCCTGCGTCCTGGGGGTCCTCCTCATCCCCGGCCATCATCTGCTCGATAAGCCTTGCCTTAAATTCTGCAGTCCGCTTTTCTATCTCTGCCAATTTACGACGGGCATCCGAGACTTTCGTCTTTTTAGGGGTGGTTCCTGCTGAGTTTCGAGGGCTTGTTCTCATATCATTTCCCCCTTCCCTGTTTTCCTGAGGTCCCCTTTTGCTACCCCCAGCTTTCCCCGAGCTTTCTCCAGTTGAGAGGTCCTTCCCGTCTTCTCGAGTTCCTTCCGGTTTGGCCGACTCTCGATCCCTGACTGATCCCTCGTTTCGTTCCCCATCCCCATTCGTGCCCTGATTCCCTCCACTCTGCTGGTCATCGATCCCTTCTTCCGTCGCCATTCCTTTACCTAGCCTGCACATGGAAATTTTTTTTTGCAAAAATTGGCCGGTTGTTCATAACTGCCCTAGCCCCGGCCCTAAAATCCGCCTATTCCCATGTTTTTTTTTTTTGCGTCTTACATTAATCGGTACGACTTTCCTGACTTTTCTTTCCCAGGGCGCCCTTCAAGTTTTCTTCCGCCGGGGAACTTGCCGCCGCTGCTTGGCATTTTATTACAACCGCGCTTTGGCTCTTAGGGCGATGTCTGAGCCCAGTGGCTTCCTTATCGAAGATAGCCCTTTTGGCTTTTCTACCCCCAAATGCCCCAGAGTTTCTGGCGCGGGTGGTCTTCCTAGTCCCTTCCTGCCGCATTATTGGGTCGGACGGAACTCCAACCACTG